CACTCAGGACAGCACTGGATCCCGTGAAGTCAGCACCGCTGAGAGAATTTGCTTGGCTCTGGAGACTTCGGCCAAGGATGCACACCTCATGTCCGGCAGCGGCCGTGCGGCAATGTCAGGTGGTGTATGGTACTGAGAGACTTGTCCATCGACGCAGCCTGTATTCGGTCCCGGCACCGACTGACAGGAGCGGCTCACCGGCCGGTCGCGATCGGCCACCGTGTGCCCGAGGTGCCGAGCGTGCACAGAGGTCAGCGTCCACGCAGGGCCGCGGCAGGGGTGTGCACAGATGTCAGTGCACACAGCAGGCCGCCAGCCGGCACCCAAGTCCATACACAGTGACACTCACCGGTCCGCTGACCGTCGCCCTTCCACGGCCCGCTGGCTGGAAGCGCCCTCCTCTGCCCGCTGGCAGTGACACTCAACGGTCCGCTGACCGTCCACTTCCCCGGCCCCTGGCTGGAAACACCCTCCTCTGCCCGCTGGCGGTAACACTCAACGGTACGCTGACCGTCCCACTTCCCCGGCCCGCTGGCTGGATGCGACCTCTGCCCGCTGACGGTGACACTCAACGGTCCGCTGACCGTCCTACTTCCACGGCCCGCTGGCTGGAAGCGCTCTCCTCTGCCCGCTGACAGTGACACTCACCGGTCCGCTGACCGTCCCACTTCCACGGCCCGCTGGCTGGAAGTGGCCTCCTCTGCCCGCTGGCAGTGACAATCAACGGTCCGCTGACCGTCCCACTTCCACGGCCCGCTGGCTGGACGCCCCCTCCTCTGCCCGCTGGCAGTGACACTCAACGGTCCGCTGACCGTCCCACTTCCACGGCCCGCTGGCTGGAAGTGCCCTCCTCTGCCCGCTGGCAGTGACACTCAACGGTCCGCTGACCGTCCCACTTCCACGGCCCACTGGCTGGAAGCGCCCTCCTCTGCCCGCTGGCAGTGACACTCAACGGTCCGCTGACCGTCCCACTTCCACGGCCCGCTGGCTGGAAGCGCCCTCCTCTGCCCGCTGGCAGTGACACTCAACGGTCCGCTGACCGTCCCACTTCCACGGCCCGCTGGCTGGAAGCCCCCTCTTTTGCCCGCTGGCAGTGACACTCAACGGTCCGCTGACCGTCCCACTTCCACGGCCCGCTGGCTGGAAGCCCCCTCCTCTGCCCGCTGGCAGTGACACTCAACGGTCCGCTGACCGTCCCACTTCCACGGCCCGCTGGCTGGAAGCGCCCTCCTCTGCCCGCTGGCAGTGACACTCAACGGTCCGCTGACCGTCCCACTTCCACGGCCCGCTGGCTGGAAGCCCCCTCCTCTGCCCGCTGGCAGTGACACTCAACGGTCCGCTGACCGTCCCACTTCCACGGCCCGCTGCCTGGAAGCGCCCTCTGCCCGCTGGCAGTGACACTCAACGGTCCGCTGACCGTCCCACTTCCACGGCCCGCTGGCTGGAAGTGGCCTCCTCTGCCCGCTGGCAGTGACACTCAACGGTCCGCTGACCGTCCCACTTCCACGGCCCGCTGGCTGGAAGCCCCTTCCTCTGCCCGCTGGCAGTGACACTCAACGGTCCGCTGACCGTCCCACTTCCACGGCCCGCTGGCTGGAAGTGCCCTCCTCTGCCCGCTGGCAGTGACACTCAACGGTCCGCTGACCGTCCCACTTCCACGGCCCGCTGGCTGGAAGCGCCCTCCTCTGCCCGCTGGCAGTGACACTCAACGGTCCGCTGACCGTCCCACTTCCACGGCCCGCTGGCTGGATGTGGAGCAGCGCCCACTGTCACCGGTCCGCTGACCATACCATACCTGTCCGCTGTCTGTCACGTCTCCCTTACTAACTGCTGGAACCCATACTCACCGGGTCGTCAAACGGTCCACTTTCTCGAGCCCACCAGCCGGTTGCCGCCGGGGGCTCTGCTGGACTAAGTGGACCGCAGAACTGGGCCAGCCTCCCCCCAGCACCGACTACCGATGAGTCACCTATTCATTCGACTAACGTCAGGGGCGACTTACAGGTCCCCGTGCCGCTGCGGCAGCGGCGGTGAAATCAGCCGCCATTCCTTCTCTCAACGCCGAAACAGGATTACCGACTAACCTTCAGAGCCGCTGCGGCGCCCGCACCGGCCCGCGCAGAATGAACGATGATGTCCCGACCGGCCGCCGCCGTGTGGCGTGTCAACAGCCTGCCTCGCCCGTGTCTGTCCCATCTGCACCATGCGCGATACCGTTCCCCGAGCTGGGTCTACTCGGCTCGTCACAGCGTTCCCGACAGCCGTCTCGCGGGCGCCGCGCTCGAAGCTGCAGCAGCAGCCCGGACACCACCGACTGGGCAAGCCAAGACACCACCGGCAGCTCCGAGTGCTCCTCTAGCTCCGCCGTCGCATCACCGCGCGGCCACAAGCGGTCTCGGACGTCATTATCCCTCACCCCTCGACGTCGCTGCCTTCCCACCGGAACGGTCGGTTTCCTTACTTTCGGCACCATCCCCTCCACCTCCTGCCAGCCCCCTCCTCCCCGTGGCCTGAAACTGCCCCCCGTCAGTGCCACCGCACTTCGCGCGCTCGCTGCGCGCTCCTCGGTATGTCGGTGGCCAAGGTCGTCTTGACCCGCCTACTTCCCTCCGACAGCCTCCGCGGTCAGCCGAGGTACCCGCCGCTCACCCCGGCCGGGTACCTGCGTGGTGTCCCGGCGATCGCGACCTCTACGGCCTAATTTTCCCATACATTTGGCAATTTCTTTGGCGTCTTTCAGCGGGAAATCACGGTACTGACCCTATGCAGGACGCTGATCGACAGAGGGCGTGAAAGGAGTCGAGACCGAGTCGCGCCAAAAGAAAATTGGTATATGAAGGTTACTCGTACCACCGATCGCCGAGCACGTGCTAATGGCACCTTACTGGATCGGATGAGACTGTAAGATTCATTAGAACGGCGAGGCCCACAGCCATACACACATCGACGCCGCAAACGCCCGTACGTATCTCGGCGGCGGCATCGTGTGAACCCATGACTCATATGAAACACCCAGTGACACCTAGCGGTCGGCCAGACATTGCACTGACGTGGAAGTGACTACAGGCGGCGGCGCCCCACGAACTGCACCCTTCCCTTTGCTGACAAACCATCACAGAGGGAACATCTTTCCCCACCTCCTCCCCACTCCCCCACTATTACATTATCTTCCCTCCCAACCCATTGTCTCCTCCTTTCATCAGTCCGTCTCGTCTTTCAGCGGGAAATCACGGTACTGACCCTATGCAGGACGCTGATCGACAGAGGGCGTGAAAGGAGTCGAGACCGAGTCGCGCCAAAAGAAAATTGGTATATGAAGGTTACTCGTACCACCGATCGCCGAGCACGTGCTAATGCAATTAAAACCATCGCAATGTTGGAGGGGGTCGGCGTACCCATGAAAGATCGATAAGACGGGTCCACGTCAAAACAGCTAGTGACTATTGAGCTAGTGACTTTTGAGCTAGTAGGTACAAAAGAGCTAGTGCTTCAAAACAGCTAGTGACAAAACAGCTAACGCTAAATTAGCTAGTAATGCAAAACAGCTAGTGCATCAAATCAGCTAGTGACAAAACAGCTAGCGTCAATATGGCTAGTAGAGCAAAACAGCTAGTGCTTCATTATAGCTAGTGACAAAATCGCTAGCGTCGAAATAACTAATGAAGCAAAATAGCTGATGCGTACAAGTGCGAGCAGCTATCATAAACCCGGTTTACATAGCATATTTGACGAGGCTCTAGCTCGTTAATTTGGCGATAATTTCGTTGCAGTGGCCTTCAGATATTTAGAGGGGATCATTTTGTAAATTGTTAAGCACCATTGGCATCTTTTGCAACATCACGGACGGAGATATAAGCTTGCAACAAACCCTATGTAAACGCGTCTATAGATTCTTTCCCGACGAGTCATTAGATTCTTTCCCGACGACGAGTCCCGACGGGTAGGAGCAGAAGAGGACCGTTGTTTGACAACATTATTTGGAATGTTAGAAGGAGGACAGAGGACGGGATCACTAAGGACAAACACAAATTAGAAGCGTGGCACCGGGGAATTCAAGGCATGTTTGATTCATCCTAAAAATCTCTTTAATGAGATTTTTTACCGCCATCCAAAAAGAACAAAATCTTCAAGCATCTGATCTTGTGAAATTCAAAAGTGGCCAGGATGTTCAAAAACAAAAGAAAATATATGCAGAGACATGAATGCCAGATTAGTCACTCTACTGAGACGCTACAGGGAAGGCATTATTAGCAAAAAAGAATTCATTCAGGGAGTAGGTTTCAACATCACTTTGAATGTTTGAGGTGGCATATCGCGGGAAATGCATATTTACAGTCACAGATATCTTACATTTTCGAAGCGAAGTGAATGGGAAGGGAACAGAGGTCCGACGAAATAGCTGTTTTGACGATAGCTATTTCGTCACTAGCTGTTTCGAGGCACTAGCTCTTTTGCTTCACTAGCTACTTTGACGCTAGCTGTTTTGTCACTAGCTGTTTTTAAACACTAGCTATTTTGCTTCACTAGCTATTTTGACGCTAGCTGTTTTGTCACTAGCTGTTTTGAGGCACTAGCTGTTTTGTACTAGCTCAAAAGTCACTAGCTCAAATGTCACTAGCTATTCTGACGTGCACCCGATAAGACAATCCACCCTGCGTGTCGCAGCTGTGACCGATTGAATACTTGTGAGGCTTTGTCAAGAAAGAAATATATCCAGGGGACAAGACTGTAGCTTTGGACCGACATCTGAAGACGGGAAGGCGGGACTTATCGGTCTCGTTTGACGCGGAGGTGCCGCGACGTTTGATCAAGGGGGTCGGGTGGCGCGTGCGGCGTGACGTGGAACATGGTGTGCTCAGTGTGCTGCGCTGAAGGTATTTGATGACCAATAGAAGGATGCATAAGCATGCGAATTTTCGATTATCTAAGTTACAAAATACCCGAGCCTTTAAACTTTTTCTCATTAATTAGTAGACACCCGTTAGATGATTTATACGTACCAGTGGTCACTTGCTTCACGCTGTGGGAGCTCGAGTCTTCCTCTGGCGAGGACGGCAGGCTACCTGTGTTCGTAGACTCCCACTGAAACGAGCACAAAGTCAACACATAGAGATGGCCATCGATCAGCCTAATCGTCGTGGGACGCTGAATTCAAAACATGCAAATCGAATGCAGATTATTCCGGCTCCGGTCCGTGGGCTCTGCCCAGGGAGAGGAGGAGATGGCGCTGATGGGTGTCATTTGGCGCTACATCCTACTGGCTATGAAAAGGATTAAAAGCACCTTACTAAACACAAAGTAAAGAATAAAAAGTTATTGGGCATGGTATAAGAGTTATAGACAACAAATTCAATTATTTTTCAACCATCATATGGCAAAAAAATTGCCGCCGTTGAAAACAGGTGCTCGTATTACCGCCCTCGGAAAGAGAATCGCCGCATAACGAAATACGGCCATCTTCGTGCAAAACATTAGATACATGATAAACATGAAGTGAAAAAGTAACCTGAAGTTCCTCAAGATAATGCATTACTCTCATTGGTTGGACGTACCGAGGACCGCATTGCGCTCTTGCTCTGCTTGCTGACTTTATCCACGGCTCCGTAAGCCGAGCTGCCCTTGCCAGAGGCGTCGAACACAGGCGAGCCCAGCTGATGAGTCCTGTAAAACACCGTCTGGTTACCGGTAAGGTCCAAGCACACGAATCCCGCGACCCCGCGTACCCAGCGCACGTATTTCAGAGTCCAATCACGGTCAGAGCTGTTAAAATGAAATGAGTTTCGCCAACAAACTTCTCAACAGCGCCCGAAGTTTGACGGGAAAGCTGTGAAATTTCGCTGACTAACCACTTGTCAGTTATGAGTTGATATGGTTCCCCGAATGGAATCCCGCTATAATATCAGGAATTTGTAGGTAACAAGATAAACAGTCCTCTCATAATGCGTAAAACTTTGCCAATCCAGGCCCTCTTCACAGCATCCCATCTCCGATGATTTAGTGCTACCCAATTATTACCAATCAAAATCAGGCATTTCATTTCCTTTTTTATTACTATCACCCTTCCCTAGATAACCTTTACCGTAGCATCTTGTCTAAGCGTCAAAATAAATGTGTCCCCACACTGGCGGATCCATGGAACGGCGGTCTTGAGCGCTGCAGGGGGGCATACCCCCAAAAAAGTCTCTAATATAAAAAATCATCGGATTTGATTCCTCACGCACAGCTGAGCAGTTTAAAACAAACCTTACGTAAAAAGTGTTTTGTTTTCTTTTTACTCTCGAAACACCGCATTTTTCGTTTTCCGACACCACCGACGGGGGGGGGGGGTGATCGCCCTCTCCCCCTGGATCCGCCAGTGTGTTCCCACCGTCCACCTCGTCTGGTGGGGACTGCTGCACATAGCGCTCAGTCACTGACTGTCTGGCGTGGCTCTGCTGCTCCTGGATGTCGTAGGCGTGCGCCAGCGCGAAGTAGGCGTAGTCGATGCCGGCGTACGTCATGAGGAAGGGCAGGGTGACGATCGGAGCTAGCCGATTGATCTGGCCGATCAGGATGAACACCAGCGTCCCGGTGGACACTGCGATTAGGGAGTACACCGGCACCTGGTTGGCACCGCTCTGCGAAAACCGGAGAGAGAACGCGGTCAATGTGGATTCGGCTGGGCTAATTATGCATGAGATGCTAAATGCAGCGGCAATTTGGTGGCGTTCGCGTGTGGTATGAGGATTCCATGAAGATGAATGATGAACGAAAGTGGCGGCTAGAATACCTACAATGACATGGTAGCTAGATTGAAATGATAAAGGCTTCACTTGTAAAGCCTGAATTGGCCTGAAAATTATTTATATTAACTGCATTCAGCCGGCGTGTGAACAAAATTGAAATTCGTAATCCTTCCATTATTCGCATCCGTTATATTTGAATGAAATGCCTGGTTAGCGCTCCTTACCACTTTGCTCAACGGCTTCAGGCAGCGAATGATGTTCTCATTTGCAATGCTCTTGAGAACCCGTGGAGTGCCGTAAAGTGTTGAAAGACATGAAGAGGAAGACGAAATGTAGAGGCCCAACAACAGGAGCACACCTGTGACCAGCCAACCAGAGTGAGCAGCTTTGACAGACATTACGTGATACCTCAGCAAATGAACAAAAAAAAAAAACTAACTAGAGGTACAGGTTTACGCGATAACTGTATGTTTCGATATGTATGATTAACGGATGCATTAGTTTGGGTGTAGAAACTTGCATTTTTATTGGTATTATTTGTGAAGAACTGGGTAACTGCTTTTGATTGAACTGTAAAGTATGATGGTGATGCATGCGAGTTGTTCGAGCCCTTTGTAAGTTAGGATGTTACTCAATTCAACCCTACCCTACCCTACCATACCCTACCCTACCCTTACACTACCCTAACCTACCCTACCCTACCCTACCCTACCCTACACCCTACCCTACCCTACCCTACCCTACCCTACCCGTGCCCTACCCTACCCTTACACTACCCTACCCTACCCTAACCTACCCTACCCCTAACCCTGCACTACCCTACCCCTACCCTACCCTACCCCTACCCTACCCTACCCTACCCCTACCCCTACCCTACCCTACCCAACCCTACCCCTAGTCCCTACTCTACCCTACCCTACCCTATCATATCCTACCCTACCCTACCCTACCCTTACACTACCCTACCCTACCCTACCCTACCCTACCCCTACCCCTACACTACCCTACCCCTACCCTACCCTACCCTTACACTACCCAACCCTACCCTACCCTACCCTACCCCTACACTACCCTACCCTACCCCTACCCCTACCCCTACACTACCCTACCCTACCCTACCCTACCCTACCCTACCCTACCCCACCCAACCCTACCCCTAGTCCCTACCCTACCCTACCCTACCCTACCCTACCCTACCCTACCCTACCCTACCCTATCCTACCCTACACTACACTACACTACCACCGGCAGTCCAAGTTTCAGCTAAATCGGCCCAGAAACGGCTGAGATATTGCAAAAACAAATTAATTGTATTTACTGGCGAATCTTCTTGGCGAGCGGTGCCTTGTGTCGGCCTTCGTTGTCAAAGGTCAACGACCTCCCGGCTCTGATGCTTTTCACTCAGCTTTTTAAGCGAACAACTGAGCCTAAAGCGCGTGCTCTCTGCTCGACGCCGGCCTCGGCCAGCCTGCGGCAGAGATGCACGCGCTGACGCGGCACCCGTGGTCCGATTGCGCCCATTTTTTGATACGATGGTCCGCCCCACCCAAAGTTTGTGCCCAGTAAATTTCACGTCGATACGCGGCGCCGTTCCGGCGCAAGAAGACACATAAGGCTGACGGATGGACAGACAACTTATAATTTATTAAGTAAGATTGTAAGTTCAAAAAGCAAAATCTCGCAAGCTATTGATGGCAGTTATCGATAAGGCATTTTATCAGTTAGTCCTCACCTGTGGCCGCTACGCGCTCAGCAATAATGTAATCGGTGAGAAGGGCCTCCCTGGTACAGGTAGCAGCCAACACAAAGGCAAACAGCATGTACAGCACGGTGCTGAAAAAACGTTCAGGGTCGGTCAATGCCTCACGGAAAGTCGTGATATTTTTCAATCGATTGTCATTGTGATCATGTGAAACACGTTCCATTGCGATTCTACTTCTTCAAATTGGTTCGACTGGTATTAATATCGATCGCTCATATCCTTTTGCGTAATGACACGAAGCTATTCAACTGTTGAACATATGTGGCTAAAATATCTGTGCCTGTGTAACTTTTGTTCCTGTATGCATCTTTGCCCGTGTTTGAACGATACGAATAACACGAATTAAATATTGGAGACGTTTAGGTATTCCTGTGAAAGTCAAGTAAACGATTATTAGGACGTCGTGAGCCACAAATGATAGAAAAACATCTAATGACATTCCTTTATTGACTATCTCACAAGGCTGGCTTGATCGTCATTCTGCAAACGCGTTCGTAGAACATACGTCGCGAACATGCGACGCGACGCATGTTCCTTATTCACACATATCTAGGTGAGTAAGTTGAAGAATCAAGAAGGACTATATGGACCACCCATTTTCCGTCCCCCTGACCGACCTTGCTCCCAGAGCCGCCAGCGTGCCGCGGGGGATGTCCTGACGTGGGTTGCGCAGGTCACCCGACATGTTGATGCCGGCCATGATGCCTGTCAGGCTGGGGAAGAAGACGCCGAACGCGCTGAACCAGTTGTTGCCCTCGGTGTAGCGTGGAGACGTGTTGTTCCGCAGGTTCTCCATGCTCCAGCCGACGTACCCCTCACCTGACAGACAACCAGTGTGCGTGATGAGGTTGGGGCCGAAACATAGGGTGAGGTCAGACCTGGGATCATAAAAGCTTCCTCGAAACGTAGGATGATCTGGTCAGGAAGTCCTGTGGGGGATCTCCTATATTGGTCGCGTCAAGCATGGGGTCATCCGAAAACCAAAGCAAACTGGATGAGACATGGGGTAAGCCCCTCACGGGATGGATCAGCTATGGGGTCACGCCGCACAGCCATAGAGCCACCTGACACGCGAACCGCTGACATCCCGACAAACGGGGAGGTCCGCTACACTTCGTGCTGGCATTTTGTCTGGTTAGATACCGGCTCGGGCACGAAAGGGCTTGCGGTACGGGAAAAGGTCAACAGAGAGTGCATCAGCAGCAATGGTAGTTACGCTCCACTTTGGAGATGCATTGGCGAGAAGCCCGAACTCTCCTTGACCTTTATGAATGTGTGTACTGAAATATTGATAGAGTTTGTCGGAAACGCGCGGCGGCCGTGGCATTTGCAGCAGTGTGTTAGGACAGCGTGCCCGCTACTTCCGTCGGAACGGTTCAACTCGCACAAACGGTCTTCTAGGAATGTTGCAACTCTGGCGCCGCTTCAATGAGACAATATCAGTTCATAGAAGCACAAATGATATCGCCGTGCTATGAAGCAGAACCACGAATTGATTTCAGACGATCGTTTGCTGAGAATCTTGGGACCCTGGCTTAGCAGAATACACAGGCCTCTGCCGCTATTTCACCAAGCCAAAATCTGATTAAAGAGTTGCTGACATAGATCACAAGTTGTATGAACTGCGAAAGTGGTCCATTTCCGGAAACGAAACTGTTGAGTCATTTAGATTACTTTCGTCAAGACTGATAACAAATGGCCCTACTTTCGCATATCCCCCGTATTCACCCGCGCCTTTCAACCATGTGACAAGGATACATCCCTAGCACATCACATATCACAGCCAACACACCTCCTCCCCCCACCGGGCGCAGAAGTCTCACCTGCCAGGGGGTCGCCGACCAGCGAGCCAAACAGAAAGTCGAGCACGGCTAGCGCCAGCAGGGCCAGCAGCACAAACTGCACCTTGATGACCCACTTGACGCCGGCGATGTTGATGGCAGTCAGCAGGGCGATCAGGGTGACGCCCACGGAGCGCTCGACCCACGGATTCTGCGGCGTGTTCACCAGCTCGGACATGGACTCGCCGAAGGCTGCGGCGCACAGTGCGCACCCCACCGCCTGCCGGATGGACATGGTACTGTTGGCAATTACAGCTAATGCAGCCGCTAAAGGCAAATGTGGACGTTAATGTTTCATACCCGTAGTGGGATCGGAGCTGGTTGCAGGGTTAGCGTTTGGAAACAGTTTGGCCATGACCCCTTGACCCTTCCGTTGACTGACTTCGATACGGTGCACCGGTTGGTATGTTATCTTGGCTTGGTGTAAATTTAGACAATTGCCTACCACTCAGCCCCGGGCCATCCCCGTCGGGAGGCGGGAGCGTTTTGTAGCGGCTGGAAAGCTACAAATCGTTTTTTACGGTGCCTTCTCTCCCTCAGCGAAGGACACACACAGTTGTTGAAAGGACACAATTTGATGCAGGTCGAATGTTTAGCATGCTGTGAGCCGTATGTTTGACGTTGCTGAATGCGAGGTCGGAATCGTAAAATCTGTTGCGGTTCAGTGCCGCGCGGGTCCTGCCTCCGATCGACAAGGCGTTGTGCGGCACAGTCTAACTTCAGGCGTCTATCACTGCTGCCATCTAGTGACAGCGCTGGGAACTATGTAACCGAATGCCCCACGTCAATAGTTGATTAGCTCGCAGGGAACTTGCCAATTGACGCGGAGCATTCGGTTACATAGTTCCCAGCGCTGTCGCTAGATGGCAGCAATGGTAGACGCCTGAAGTTAGACTGTGCCGCACAACGCCTTATCGATCGGAGGCCGGACGGGGAGCATTCATTCTGGCCAGGGTTCATAATGTCCAGGGTACGTTATGCCCAGTGTCGAAATGGCCAGTGCCTTAAATGGGCCAGAGTTCATAATGTCCAGGGATTGCATGGCCCAAATGCGGCCAACTGGCTGCAGATAGGGTATATTCAAAGAGGCCAGGGTTCATAATGTCCAGGGCACGATGTGTCCAGTGTTCGAAATGGCCAGGGTTCATAATGTCCAGGGCACGATGTGTCCAGTGTTCAAAATGGCCAGAGTTCATAATGTCCAGGGCACGATGTGTCCAGTGTTCAAAATGGCCAGTGCCTTGAATAGGCCAGAGTTCACAGTGTCCAGGGATTACATAGTCACTGAAAGTGACGTCATTATGTAAAAAACACGGAACCAGCTCAATGCGAAGCAGTGCAGTGCCGAAGGCAATGCCTTAGGAGAGATTACAGGCAATAGTAAATCAAATATTTTTAGGTTAAGTGGTTATGTATCTGGCTTCACGCCGAAACCCGCGCGGCACTGAACCGCAACAGTTTTTACGATTCCGACCTCGCATTCAGCAACGCCAAACATACAACTCACAGCATGCCAAACATCCGACTTACATCAAATTGTGTCCTTTCGACAACTCCCATTCTAGTCAGCATGGTACGATATTGACCGATGGGATAACCGGCCAGAGGACGCCCGACTGGCAAATACCTCTCCAAACTCCAAAGACGTCTTACTGGAACACACCTGTCCGAAGCAGTAGACCAGGCCGATGGCAGTTCCGAGGTGGGATCCGAGCACCTGCGAGACGAGCGAGTACACCCCACCGGTGGCCATGGGGCACCTCTCACAGATGCCGATCGCAGAAAGTACGGACGTCAGCACCACGCACACTGCGGACATTGTGAGAGTGGAGCAATAATTACAGCAACGTCAGATGCATCCTGTGCTATGGAAAGCCTAATGAATGTTTATCAGCGTATAGGAGCCAGCTCGATGCTCTTGTGTTATATGAACGCATAACAATAAACCAGTGATTGGTAAAGTGACACCGTGGGGGTTATCACTTATTAATGGACCTTTCGTCTTATGTGCAATTGGTATGCATTTTTTATCGGACCTGTTTGACGGAGGAAAAGTCATCTAACTTGATGAAGATGCTTACTTGCATACTTGGCTTGCTATGTGTAATAGTAAATAGATAGATCTAAAGGAATATTGGCGATTTATTTTTCTTACAATGCTGTTAAGATCCACATTCATTCCGCAACATTACGGCAATAGTAATCAAACAGCCAGCTAGTGTGCATGAGTCAGCTAGTCCGGAATTTGATCCTGGCACCATGGAATTGTAAAACGCCAAGATAGCAAACATTTGCTGACAAAGCCGGCGCTCCGTCATTGTCTGTCACAGCTTCTGCCAGAATCTGTCAGCTCACTCCGTCAGAGTCTGTCACACATTCTGTCAGTGCCTATCACAGGCTCTGTCGGAGTCTGTCACACACTCTGTCACTGTGTCACAGACTCCGTCAGAGTCTGTCAGCTACACAGCCAGACCACTGACCGCAGGCGATGATGATGAGGAAGGTGAAGCCGATGCCGGCCTGCGCCACCATCCAGCCGGAGCGCAGCAGCACGATCACGCCGAAGATGTTGACGATGACGGTGGTGAACACGCCGTCCCAGGTGCCGAAGAGTACCGGCGACGACACGAAGAAGTTGGACCGCCACCACGGCTGGTGGCGCTGTGTGCGCGGAGGGAGGTGATCAGAGAGATGGGCTGCCGATGGCGCCGCGCGGAGAACGAGGTAATGAAGGGAGTGGTTCGGTTAGAAATGTGACGCCAACTCACTCGCATGGAATCAAGCTGTTGCTGGATTGATCGGACAGAAATCAGCCAGTCCGAAATATCGATTAGATAATGTCGAGGCAAGAAAACGTCTTCTCGGATGTAATGAATGTCAGGACCAAAGGCCAGTGTCGCATCCCCATAAAGGTCTAACGAAGCATGTTTGAAACTCCGAATAAAAAAGGCCGTGTCCCTTGGCGTGCTCAACAACTTTTCTGGCTGTCAGCAACTCCCGGGCAATCTTTGTCTCCTCCCTTCCCAAAAAAGCTGCAAGTTCCGTGTGTTGATACAGCAAAGTTCTTTGAGGTTTTGACAGGGAAATGGATTTCGTGCAAAGTCACACTGATATCGGGCAGGCTATGCTATTTGATGGCGTCAGTGGCAATTTTCAGTTGGAATGGTGGTTTATTTTTCATCATCATCCACTAGCTCACCGTCGCACCAATCACGTTTTTGTTAGAGCTAGATCAATGTTGACTTGTTTACTCAGAAAATAGAGCGCTTTCTGAAACCCAGATGGCCCGGGGAATCAATTACGTTCGCATCTAGGAAAAGCAAATGCGTGAGAGACATATGATATCGTGTTCCCTAACAACGCATCAGCAATCAACATTGCATAGGAAAGAAGGCGGCATTCACGTCCTTTTCCTTGCGTAAAATAATATTGAAGTTGACAAATCCTTTCAGGCTCCAAAATATAAAAGGTAAAAATGAAATATCATTTTTAAGACAAAGGCACCAAATCGCTCTGTCAGCTATGCTTGGCTTAGAAATATGAACTTCATGGACACGGTGAAACAGTAGGCGGTGTTACGAAACATTAAAAGCATATTAAAGGGACCCTCCCACCTTCAAAAAAGTTTATGAATTGGCATGAAAGTGATGTCGCTAGGTTCAGAAAGAGCGAAAACGAATATTTACCAAATTTCACCGAAAAATGTTCACCGGTTTTCAAGATATTAGACTTTTACTTTTGTTTACTTTTTTGGGATCTCCACTGTTTCTAGCGACTTTATTTCAGAAGTGCAGCGTTTGCGGCAGATGTTGCGCGCAAATAGCATATACCACCGCGTGCTACAAAACGTTTTAGTCAAACATTTAAAAATCGTTAGATATCTGCGCTGACGTCACACATTCAGAGGGGTATTCCTAAGCATTAGCCCCTCTGAATCAAAATGCTGCAATTTTGAAATTCAATATTTCTGATTTAAGGCATTTCTCGATGTTGTGAGTGCCGAAACCGGTAATTGTGAGCCAGGGACCCCATTTTGGCTATCTCAACTCAAATCTAATGTTAAGGTGGGAGGGTCCCTTTAAGCACTAATGATATGGACAAAGTATACTTACGTAAACAGTGAAGCGCATATACTTGTTTGATTTGTAGGCTGTTCGAATCAATTTTAGCTTGGGCTATATGTATACTCAGTTACATAAAAAACGGTCCCTGATGTATTTATTCTCATGATGACAGCCCTCTGCAACGTGCGCGGTAGGTATTTTTTTTTCGACAAAAACGAGAATAACGCGAATACTATGTTATCGGTCAATCGGAAATCGTAACAGCACTGACGCGTTAGACTCCGCACCTTAGGTTGGCATCATCACCGTATTCATTTTCCATCTAGTTCGGCAACAAAACCCAAAAGTTTATATTTGCCCCCATAATAAACTTTTGCATTTTGTTGCCACACAGGGCGTATACTTTGTTTAGTGATAGACCCAATCGAAGGAGTGGAGCATGGCGCATCTATTTGCAGTGAGTTCCGACCGACTTATAACATACCTAGCCTTTGAGTTATTATCGGGTTCGCCGAAAAAAAAAAGAATACCTACCACGCAGTCTGCTGAGGGCTGTACCTAGTGGTGTCAACTTGTTCGGCTCGGTGATTCCCTTGGCGATTTATTACGTATCCGTATATCAGTTCGCCAAACTCGATAAGACCCATAGGCATAGCACGGTTGTCGGCTAGTGCTTCCCAACGACTTACGAAACGATTTAGGCATGCAATATGACACATCTCATCACATCTCATCAGAGTATCTGCAGTGTGTCTCACCTGTTCCTCTGCGAACAGCTCGTCATCTCGCTGGGCGGCGCCGGCCAGCGGGTCGCCGGCGGACGGCTCGGCAGCTGCCGGTCGGCCGGCCGGCTCGGAGCTCAGGCCGAACCGACCCCAGTCCACGCTCACCATGGCGGCGGCGCCGTGTCACCGCCGTGACCGCGCCGGTCACGGAGCTCGTGACACTCGGAGAAACGTCACGGCACGGCTGGGTGGTGACCAGAGCTGCACCTGGGGTGACCCGACGGTCACGTAATACCTGAGTAGTGCTACTGTCTGCACTCTATCCATATTGTCATACAGCACACGACACATGAGGATAAAGAGTATTCGTTCAGGACATCCATTAGAATGTAAATCTTTTTAGTCCTTTGCAGGAATTCAGAAAGTGGAATGTCGTGTCATTTCATTTCACGCATTGATTGTCATGTGAAGATTGTATATTAACGTGTAGTTCTAGTTTGCGTGACCAGACTTGTGACAGCTCAAGAAAAAAGTGAGCTCGCTCAGCTCAACTCCGTCTTATCCGCTCCCGCTCAGCTCCCGCTCAGTTTAACGCGGCTCAGCTCAGCTCACGTTCCGCTCAAACCGGCTGCGCTCCGCTCACGCTCAGCTCAGCTCAGCTCAGTTTCCGGTCAGCTCAGCTCAGCTCAGTTTCCGCTCAGCTCAGCTCAGCTCAGTTTCCGCTCAGCTCAGTTTCCGCTCAGCTCAGCTCAGCTCAGCTCAGTTTCCGCTCAGCTCAGCTCAGCTCAACTCAGTTCCCGTTCAGCTCAGCTCAGTTTCCGCTCAATTCAGCTCAGCTCAGTTTCCGCTCAGAAAAAATGTACCGACGAAAAAATGCACGGACGAAAAAATGTACAGACGAAAAAAAAATGCGAGACGAAAAAAGTCGGACGAAAAACTGCGGACGAATAATTGTCCGACGAAAATCTTCTAGACGAAAAAAACGTCATGGAATCATCTCAACTAGGCGGTGTTTCACGGCCGAGAGCAGCACGCCCACGCCGCCATCCGCTATTGGCACCCTGCCAGGAGCTGACGTTACATTTTGAGGTAGTGTTGGAACTTGGAGATAAGAGTTTGTTTATATCTCCATGGAAACCCCATTTGACACGTGTGATAGCAGCGTGCTGTTATCAGTGAAACCTATAACACCACCCTGATCTCAACCAAGGCAATGTCAACACTATTAGAATTCATAGTCGGCGTGTGAATAAGGGAGCTTATCCCATATAATGGACATCAGAAGGTGAGAATTCCAGTTAGCGCCTCTGCCCCACCCCACTTTCAATAGGATATGGTTGCTTAGCCCACATTCAACCAACGAAGAGGAACTTTATTTGCTTATTCCTAATTGTAAATATTGTATGCAGATGTAAGAACCCTTATTGATAAAATTAATTTAAATAACTGCTTAAATAACAAAGTGAAGAATGCTGAATTGTACATTGCGGAGCAGAGTGTCATTACATGGGCGTCGAAACCGGGGGGGACGGGGGGGACGCGTCCCCCCCAGTCGAGGAATCCGGGGGGGACGTCCCCCGCAAAAATATCCTCATGAATGATTTAAAAAGTGACCCACGACATTGGTGTATTGTCGTTTTGGGATGAAATTGCGGATACCTACTCGTATACAAATTGAATCTGCGAATTGCTGACACTGTACCCTTGCTTACAGGGCTGCGGAGTAGATGATTTTGGTAATTCCGACTCCGGCTTAAAAAAAAAAAAACGCTCGGAGTCCCCGCTCCATCTCCGACCACGGCATCCCTCGGCCCGCATCGGAGTGAAAAAACATGTGATGTGATGCTTTTGTCTCTTTGAACGTTTCCTGGCACATAAAAGATAACATTGCCTACGAGGTGCAGCTCTGGACTGTCCGTCCCAGGTCGTCGATAGGGAGCCAAAGCTCCAGTTGTAGGGGCGACCATATTTAACAAGGGCTGAAGATCTGTCCCAAAGTCTCAGAGTGCAGTAGGACAACAGCTTGCAGAGACCACACATTTTACATAGGATATTCGTAATAGTCAAGACCTTCAGCTCACTCTCAAACGGCCCTCTTCCCGTTCGAGGCCATCCGACAGCAGAAGGTCTCACCATGGCCTTTGAACGCTTGATGCTTGAGGGTGAGAGGACCTCGTCCTGGTCTGAGAGAGCCCAGGAGGACGTAATGCTCAGTATGCCCCTATATTGGTCTTACCATGACCCCTACAATCACCACAGCCAACAGAATCTCCAGCTCTTATTCGACCCATCCTCGGGGATGACGTTGACTCTGACTTCAGAGTTGAAGTCTGTTACGATTTTGGTGACTCCAACTCCGTATCCGACCAAAACCGTCGACTACGACCGAAGTCGACTCCGACCCCGCAGTCCTGCAGCTACACTGCACAGAAGTTGGAAAAAACTGTACCTATGGTTGACAGCGGTTTACAGAGGACCACACGATTTTTTAGAGGCAGGGCTGCTGGACTTGGTGACCAGACCCTAACTGTCCTGGTATCAAACTTAATTACGCGGGATGCAAAATTTATGCGTTTTGGGACTGTTTTGCCAAGAGTTTTTGCCAATTTTCGCGGCGCTTCGCGCCGCCAATTCATGCACAGGTAGAAAAGAGTGTGACTAATAACGCCTCCACGCGAGAACATGAGAACATGTGTATTGTGTATGCGTTACAAGTAGTGCATAGGCCTGAAATTGTACGCTAAACTAACTAACTTTTGGGTTTTTAGTCAGCCAATCCGTCCCCCCCAGTCAAAAATCCGTGGCGACGCCCCTGAGTGTCAAGGCGAAGCATCAAAGCCTGACAGTAGGTAGGTATTCATTTTGCAGTCAGACTTGAAACTTGAGACTGGCTGTATTAGCCTGTAAATTGGCCATGACCCTGGTCTTCCAATTTCCATGCAATATGGGTGAAAGAAATTAAGCTTGATTAGTGATTACTATTGATTTCTTTAGAGTTTTGATATTTTTAAGTGCGATCACGAAAGATAGCTAGCTGATAGCTGAAGCATCAAAGCCTGAGTTAATTTCCAAGCATGAACTGAAAAGAATTAGAACTGGATCAGCTCAGCTCAGCTAAATCAGCTCAGCTAAATCAGCTCAGCTCAATCAGCTCAGCTCAGCTCGCTCAATCAGCTCAGCTCAGCTCGCTCAGCTCAGCTCAGCTCGCTCAGCTCAGCTCAGCTCAATCAGCTCAGCTCAGCTCAGCTCAATCAGCTCAGCTCAGCTCAGCTCGCTCAGCTCAGCTCAGCTCAGCTCAGCTCAGCTCAAGCTCATTCAGCTCAGCTCAGCTCAAGCTCATTCAGCTCAGCTCAGACAGCAGCTCAGCTCAATGCATTACTGAGCCGGCTCAGCTCACAGCTCAACAATTTGGCAAAATGTTGAGCCGGCTCATGAGCTGAGCTGATTTTTGAGCCGGCTCAACTGAGCTGATCACAAGTCTGTGCGTGACGTGTCGTATAACTCAGCTTTAGTTAGCGCTTTTGATACTAACGAGGATGTAATGACGTCTGTTATGATCCGTGATGCTGTCGTGAAAGGTGAAGTGACCACGGGCACAGCAGGTTAGCTGTCGGGTCATTTGATGCGGCTAGTGTTCCACAAACTGCAGATCGAATGTAAGTACATAGTAGGTGTGGCTGTAATAACCGACGCCAGCGAGGCCCAATCAATGTTTGTAGCCATGTACCCAATTCCAGGAGAAGTCACTTGAGGGTCCATTCCGACTGTCTTCCCACCCCAACCCATAAAAACCGTCCATAGCAGGAGCCAGGAAAGAACGGTGAAGCTATTAGCTAGCACTTTCGCTAGTTTCTGGTATTTAATGAGATTACCTTAGAGCTCTTCCAGACCACTTTTTCAGGTTGCCGAGCGATGCTTCGAAAACATTGTGTGTTACTCTGTCTGTTGACATGACTACGATAGAATTATAGGACTGATCGCGCATTTAAGTCGTTCAAGACGTTCACAGCTCATAAAATAAATAGCCAGTATTGTCCGCCTAGTTAATGTAAACAAGAGAAACTAAAGACCGACAAAGTAAAGCTAAAAAGCAGGGCGGAGCACCATTGCTGGAGCATGTACTATACTGCAGGCTATTATCCCAGTTCCAATAAATTGCAGTTTTTTTTGTGGCAACTCAGGCAATCACATCACTCCCCGATAGCATGTGGGCCGCCCACCACCCCGCCCATTTCGCAGCATATGGTACCGTTTCCGAGCGCACCCACCGGCGGGTCACACGCACCCGCTGCCCCTCCCACCCCTCCCGTCCCCTCAGTGACCACTGCGACCCCCTCCGGTCCTGTCGGGTCCCGCTGGGTGGGCCCCGGTCGGCGGGGGTCTCACCTGTGCTGGAGCGGGCGCGGGTGGTGCGGCCGGCGGCGGCGGCAGCGGCGGCGGTGTGCCGACCGGCCAGTACCGGCCCGTATCGACCAGAACAACATCGACGGCGACGCCGGCCGACGAGCAGGCGCGTCGCTGCCGCCGGCCGCGCCGTGTGATGTCCGCGCTGTTTGGAGAGACTGCCGACGGCAGGTGACGGGAAATTGGCCTTGTCAGAGAAGCTGGGCATGGGAGAGAAGTGTTCCCCAAATCATGTATACTGAAATTACTGATCTCAGGCATCTTTTGCAAAATTGTCAGGAACTCTGATTTGTTTTTCAATAGTGCACTATTCTAACGAATAGTGTTTTGACTATTGACGACAAACCTTCGGTTACCTAAATGTATCGTTTTGTGTTTTCGTGGGGCACGCTTGATACACTTGCCCCTGATCAAGCTAGAGCTTCGCAAAAAAACGAGCGTGTTGCTCGTGACGAGAGGAAGGCGACAATATCCAATTTTAATCCGCACCGGCCCGGTGCTCCGAGATTCCGCGCCGGGCCGGGGGGTGTCTGAACACAACCCCCCCCCCCTTCTAACTCGGCTCCTGGGCCACGTAGCGACACGCGGTAAGCGACACTCGAAAGAGTAAGTGTTTTCATCCAAAATAAGGATGAAAACACTTCGGTCATTTTTTGGGTCAGGTCAAAGGTCAGGTCACCAGAGGTCACCAAAGGTAACATGTTGACTATTTCAACATTTTGGAAACTGCCGACGGCTATCTCGGGAACCGATAGAGCTACAGCGCCGCGGAAAAGCACATTCGATAGCCCTTTTACAGAACTTTCTGAATAATGTTCTCAGATTTGACCTCAGGTCAACGGTCTAGCCTCCAGAGGGCAAAAAATCCAAAAATAGCCGTTTTTACGAAAAACGTTTTTTCGGCAATAACTTTTCACCCAAAAGAGTCATGACATTACTTTTGCCAGCATCGTGTTTCTCTCGTCGAGACGCGTCGAATGAACTATACTTTGACCTTGAAAGGTCAACTTTAAAATTTGACCTCAGGTCAAGGTCATGACCTGACCGGAAAAGGTCATCTTCCATATCAGTCGATCCGCAACGTCGAGCCGAACACATCTAAGGCATTTTCTGCGCTCTAGCACGCCTCTAGCATAAGTTATTAGCGAAAAACTGTTAGATTCTGTTCGTGACCTGAGATGACCTCGGGGACATAACGAGGAGTCACAGTTGCCATTTTCCGGTTGTGTGTCAATTTTACCTACATCTCGATGTTTGGAGAGTGTCTAGAATAGCGTTCGTACAAAACAGACGCTGTTCAATTTTCTCCCATTGACTTATAACGGAGAGGCCGCAAAATTCACCTCACCTTAGGTCACCGATATCAAATATACATTTTATAGATAATGTTACTCTTATCAATCGCTGAAGTTTCAACGGCAATCATGCAGTCGGTGTAGCTATGACGAGCATTCTTATTTTTTTCTGAGGTGAGACGGTCTTTGAGGTCGTGTCGCAGAAAGATGTCACAGATGTCACGCAAGTGACGGCAGAGCTCACTGATTCAAACGTTGAAGACGGTAGAGTGGAGCTCTCCCAGTCAGTGACAATAGAGCATATTCTGAGAGACATTAGTGATGAAAGCGGAACCGGAAGAAGGTGAATTGACCAAGCGGCGTCTTGAAAATATTGTGAAATAGAGAGCTGCCAAATTTGGCGTACCTGCACTGGTCGCGAGTTTTAAAATAGACAGACCTACCAGCAGTGGCTTAAAACTGTCGCGCTAACTACGAGTAGCATAGACGAAGAGGTAGTGAGGCCTGGATGTGCTGGAACCCGTCTTTATGACAAGATAGTAAACGCACTGGTCGACGCACGGTTTACCAACTGGGAATAAATGCTAATCAAATCGAAACGTTTCCTTCGCAAATTCAATCGTTTTTAATGCAACTGAACATGGTCTAAGGATGGCTTTTGGTTGTCTCTTTGTTTGTGGTAAGCTAAAAGACGCAAAACATGTCAGTAGGAAATTATTCTAACGACCTTTAGTGACAAGACCGGGATCCCGGGATTGGCATAACGTTCCGGGATTGTAATCTCTACCTGCAGCCCGACCCAGAGCTACCCAGTAACGACGGCACCAAAGGGCCTCACCCAGCACCCTGCAGTGCCCGCACACGTGCCCGACTGCCCTTGACTGACCCAGGCGGCGCGACTGCCAGCCGGGTGCACGCCCGGATCAAGGTCATTGCGCAGGAGCCAGGAGCGCAGCCCATCGCTGGCGAGAGGAAGCTGGTGATCATACGCTGCACCCTAGCTTTGAGCGGATCATCGCCAGTATCAAACCCAAAATACATAGCCCACCAATGCACTAAACCTTCAGTGAAACGGTCACGGCGGGAGTTCGCCGACCGGAACACCCCTCACTGCGGCCGGGAGCCGAGCGGATCCCGCCTCGCCGTCCGGTCGTTGCCCCCGCCCCGCCGGCCGACGGACCGCCCCGCCGCCGCTGGCACACGAGCATACCGAAACGTTGCGCAACGGACTGCCACGCTGGACGGACGCTGGAGACCGCTCCGCCTACGGCTGTGCCGCGTGTCGTATAGCGAACGTGGTGGCGAGCTGGTGGCGAGCGCTGTAGAACTCCCGTGCTGGCTCCGTTTGAGCTTCAAAGAACTGGGTAGTCAGTGATATCGTCCGCTGAATAACTGATTGTACCCAAATGTCAACTCATAAGCTCGCTGCTTCGATTAATCTATTCCTGTCTACTTGTGGATTGACGCAAAGTCGCAAACAGTTTCAACAATGTTCCATATTTTTATTAGAAACACCTTTTGAAACACCGCAGTTTCCACCAAGTGTACAACCGTGACGCAGCAACAGCCACCATTTCGGGCATTTTGTCCAGGGTTCATAACGATTAAATATAAACAAGTTGTCAAGCAACGAAATTAAACATGACACCGTAATCTGTGAACAGGAACAAATGCCACTAGTCGACTCAACAAAAATCTGGTCTGTAAAGTCATGTCCTAGCCCCGTCCCCACATAACACATTCCCGTCCCTTACGAGGTCCAACCCAGGAATGATCACTCGCACCAGCTCATGCGTCGGCACTGGAGATTCTCACGCTCTCTCCCAAACGCACACAGTCACACGCACACACGCACGCTGGAGAAAACGCAATACCACGTCCAGTGCACGGCAAGCCAATTCACAGATGGAGAAGATGGCCTTCTACCAGACATGTGCGCACACAAAATAAATATCACCGGTTTTGCAGTGTCCCCCTGCCGGCGCCGCTAGTCTACAACTCGTCCTTGTCCGAGCTAGAGTCGTCGTCACCGGTCGGGGGTGGCGCGCCGCCCGCGCCCTGGTACAGCTTGGAGATGATGGGCTGAATGATGTCCTCCATCTCCTTCTTCTGGGCCTTGAACTCGGCGGCGTCAGCCTCCTGGTTGGCATCGAGCCACTTGATCTTCTCCTCGATCACCTCCTCGATCTTGGACTTGTCGTCGTCGGACAGCTTGGCTCCCAGCTTCTCCTTGTCGTTCAGCTGATTCTTCAGACTGTAGGCGTACGACTCGAGCTCGTTGCGCGCCTCCACGCGCTCCTTGAGCTTCTTATCCTCGTCGGCGTACTTCTCAGAGTCCTGGATCATGCGCTCGATGTCCTCCGGGGTCAGACGGTTCTGGTCGTTGGTGATCACGATCTTCTCCTTGGATCCGGTGCCCTTGTCCTCAGCAGACACCTGCAGGATGCCGTTGGCGTCAATCTCGAACGTCACCTCGATCTGAGGCACGCCACGAGGCGCCGGCGGGATGCCAGTCAGGTCGAACTTGCCCAGCTCGTGGTTGTCCTTGGTCATCGGCCGCTCGCCCTCGAACACCGAGATGGTGACCGTGTGCTGGTTGTCAGAGGCCGTGGAGAACACCTGGGACTTCTTGGTGGGGATGACAGTGTTGCGGGTGATCAGCTTGGTCATGACTCCTCCCACGGTCTCAATACCGAGCGTCAGCGGGTTCACATCGAGCAGCACGATGTTGCTGGTGTCACTGTCGCCGCTCAACACGCCAGCCTGCACGGCGGCACCGTAAGCCACAGCCTCGTCCGGGTTGATGCCACGGCTCGGCTCCTTGCCGTTGAAGAACTCCTTCACCAGCTGCTGGATCTTGGGGATACGGGTCGAGCCTCCGACCAGCACGATCTCGTCAACATCCTTCTTCTGCAGATCGGCGTCATCCAGCACCTTCTGCACCGGCTTCATGGTGCCGCGGAACAGGTCCATGTTAAGCTCCTCGAACTTGGCACGGGTCAGCGTCTCAGAAAAGTCGTTGCCCTCGAAGAAGTTCTCGATCTCGATCTTGACCTGATGCTGGGAGCTGAGCGCACGCTTGGCCTTTTCGACCTCACGACGCAGCCGCTGGATGGCGCGGTTGTTGCCGCGAATGTCCTTGCCGTGCTTCTTCTTGTACATCTTGATGAAGTGCTCCATGACGCGCTGGTCGAAGTCCTCTCCGCCGAGATGGGTGTCTCCGTTGGTGGCCACCACCTCGAACACGCCGTTGTCAATGGTCAGCAGCGAGACGTCGAAGGTACCGCCGCCCAAATCGAACACCAGCACGTTCTTCTCGCCCTCCTTCTTGTCCATGCCGTAGGCGATGGCGGCCGCCGTCGGCTCGTTGATGATACGCATCACGGTCAGGCCGGCGATTGAGCCGGCGTCCTTGGTGGCCTGGCGCTGGGCGTCGTTGAAGTAGGCCGGCACCGTGACCACGGCGTGCGTCACCTTCTTGCCCAGGTAGGACTCGGCCGTCTCCTTCATCTTGGAGAGCACCATGGCTGAGATCTCCTCGGGCGTGAACACCTTGTCCTTGCCGTCCACCTCCACGCGCACGTGCGGCTTGCTGTTCTTCTCAATAAGCTGAGGAAGGAGAGGATACAATATAAGACTTTTCACAAGGAAAGCTCAAATGCACGCGGAAGCCCGTGTATCAGCAAAGAGGTAATACAAATAATATCTTATCAGAAGATAGGCACCATTG